AGTATACTAAGTAATAAAACTCATTCCTTATTTTCATTTGTGTAAAATGTATTATGTTCTAAAGTAAAAATTAGCATGCATTTATTCAGATTCTTGTATATATAGTGTACCCTCCCAGTTAGCAAAATATAGTTTAAAATGTAGTGGAAAAGTTATAAGTAGTTGCAAATCAATATGTAGTAATAGCTTTCAACCAAAAAAGAAATTCCTTGTGAGAAAAATCCCAGGATGCACAGAGCCTAGGCATGACTGCCCTGTGGGATTTCTTTCCAGAATAATGCAAGGCTATATAGATGTGATGATTCAGAAGGTGAGCAGCTAGAACCAACGTAACAAAGAAAATGAGCCAATTAAAAAAGCAGTACTATATATAAAAACCCCCGGTCTCATTTTATACCAAGAAATAGTCCTGTTCCATTACAAAGAGAGATATTTATGAAAAATCTAACAGTGGACAGAAAAATATAGATATTAAGAACCGTAAGAAGAATTCTCTCCAATCGCTACAGCTTAGATAGAATCAGCTGTACACGCTGAACTCAACAAAGTAAATCTAAAATTTATTTCTTACCCGCTAAGTAATTACTGTTTGTCTTACTACCTAGTTAGAAGCAAGAGAAAAGGATGCTAAGGCTGAAAGATTTCTACATCAAAGTTACAGCACTAGAGATGAATCAAAATAAACTGGTTTAGAGTTCAAGGGCAATATATTTCAGCTGCTCTTTCACCTGAAAACTCATTTCTGAATTCTACCTGTTAAGCTCAAAAGCAAGTATTATACCTAGAATGTTTTTGAAAGATCTGACAGAGAGCCATAATTAGAGTCAGATGTTTGAAAGGTCAGATCTTTTCTGATGGAACATTCTGCAGTTCATAAAGAAATAGCCCTGGACTTTCTTTTAGTGTTTATTTTACTTTATTTAGCAATTCCGTATGTGTCAAGCTTTACTAGCACAAGAGCAATTTTAAAAATGATGCCACTCAATAATGACTAAAAGTACACATCTAACTTTTTATTTGACTGGAGAGTTAAAAATTAACATTTTCACTGGTCTGGTTAGTTTATAAGTCTCCTATACTGTGGGGTGTCTTCATGTATGCTAAGCTCTTGATAGTACCCTTCAACAGCAAAGCGATGAATATAGTGTGCTCTCATACTGGGATAAGGGATATGTGTGTGGGATAGATGTGGTCTTGATTACTTTCTTGGAGGCTATCATTGGTACATGTTGGGAAAACACTGCTTAACACTAAGAAGTAACACAATTTTGTCTTCAGCCAGACACTGATTCGTTTTAAACCTCAGGGAAGAATTAAAAATAATAAAAGCCTGCGTAGGTGGAGGGGAGAGTTATCCTCCACAGGCTTATAAAACATTACATTTTTATTCCCTAAAGTACAGTAAACGAACTGCAGTCATAGTAGAAGTGATAAACGGTATAAAAGCTACGTCAGCAAGGTTTTGGTATATTTGCGCAAGGCAAAGAACTTGCTTTTTCAAAAGACTCCCCAATGACTAAGACTTCCTAGCTCATAATATGACGGGGCAGCTCTCAGGGCTGGGTCTCATGCTGGCCTGCCCACCTGTCTCTACGAAGCAATCTACCCAGCCTTGCCTGCCACTACTTTGCTGTTCTCAAAATGGGTGGTAAAATGTGGGAGACTGCCCATTACATGCCCCAATGCCAGGGGGCACCATCTGCAGCTCTAACCTTTCCTACACTGCAGCCCATTCCTTGCAGATGGTATCACCATTCTTAGCATCTCTGGCTCCACACTGGGCCCCATAATCCTCCCATCTGGACCTCAACTGGATGCCTCCTATCAGGCAGCCTACATCGTCCTCATTCTGGGCTACCTAGATCCCTGTACTCTTCCCCCTCTCAGGTCTGCCCGCTCCCCGGGACCTTTGGCCACAAAGACCCTGGCCTCACCTCCAAGGCCAGTTAGAAACCCAGGCCCTCGGCTCTGGGAGTCCCTCATGATGAGCCCCTGGCTCTTTTGACCAGTGTGGACCTGGCCCCAGCACTGGCCAATTGAGGGTGCCTCAAGTCAGGCTTCTTGAGCATCTAGCCCACTCCCTCTAACGGGTCCGCCTTCTCAGCCCTAACTATGGAATAACCCACCCAGTTGTGGGGGCTGGGGTTACTGAGGCACCCTGACCCATCTTTCACCAGAGTGGTAACTGGCCTGGCATTTCCTGGGGGCTCTCACGCCACTAGGAGCCCCACCAGGCCACCCATCCCCGGCAGGCTGCAGTTTTAGTTTGCGCCCAGGACCAAGAGCCTCCTAGCCATCCCCATAAGCTCTTGCCCATACCTCCTGGTTGTTCCTGCTGCAGCTCAGCTAGGCAATATATTTACCTCCGCTGTACCAGAAGACTGCAGCCTTTATATACTAGATTCTCAAAATGGCTGCCACCATCAGGCAGATGCCTGACCCCGCTCTTAAAGTGGCAGGCACCAACAGTGCCCTGCCACACAACTACATGGATGAAAGATTTGTTTTAAGTCACACAAGTATATCCCTACTTCCAGATTTTGCAGTTGCATTAAACTGTATACTTTGCATTCAGATGGGAAAGGAAAAACAGAATTTCCTTTTGTGCATAACTTTATGTCCTATATAATCATTGGATAGCTGTATGCAGTTAACCATCTGTCTTCGCCACCAAAAAAGAAAAGTTTTAGGGCTATGTATTAAATGTACTTAAAATGCAAGCAGTAAAACATGTGCTAAGTGTGCTCATATGATAGCAAAGTTACAACTTTTTGTGGGAGGAGTATTCCCCGATCATGGTAAGTAATGTGTTCAACTACCACTAGACTGCTCCATGGAGATAATATAAGCAATTGGTCGGTCCTCACCTAGTCATAATATCAGCCAGGGACTCTTCAGCTGTACCAAGCCTTCAGGTAGAACGAGGAAAGCCACGTATCAGGAGGAAGGATCTTGGATTTTTCACTTGCAAGTTCCTCCAGGATCAAGTTGACAGCTGGGCACATCCAGGGCCAGAAAGTCCTGGGGCTGCAACTAACAATCAGTGGATTGGCAGTCCCAGCTCTGGCACTGCACTGCAGCTGGTTCAAGACTAGTGTGGTCCTGGGGTTGGGACCAACACTCACCAAGCTGTGCATGTTAGAGATTGTAGTAAACACTACCCTTTGATTGCTCAGAACATGCTCTAACTTTAATACCGCAAAAATGTAACGTACAAAGTATCCTGATTAACAAGGTCCTTAATTTACATATTTTAAAGGCTATTAATTTTTATTACCCTCATCTGGTTTTAACAGTTTTCCACATTTACCCCTATTAATGAGCATAGTGTTATCAGCTCATTGTATGAAAATGGAAGCTGTTATTTAACCCTTCAATTATGTCAGATGCAGCTACTTGACTGATGATGGCCCAGATCCAACAAGTCTTTTGGCAAACTAGTAACTTACCATGTGAGTTTCCCAAGGTTGAAGTGTCTGGCTGGCACGGAGCCTATATCTGGTTTTGTGGGCTGATTTGGGCCAGATTAACTATGGAATTAGAGTATGAACTTTGCTCCCAATGTTAGAGCAAGATGACTTGTTAATAACTGTTGTGTAGAAATGCAATTAAGAGGGTCTCCAAAGTTGAAGGAGAGTGAATGATACAGATATGACAGCAGCTGAAGCTAAATGAAGATGAAAAATTACAAACTAAGGAAGACCCTTTAAAAATACATTATTAAGAAACAGCAGATAAGCAAATACCTGGAAACTTAAGTACATATGCAGGTCCAGTCAGCGTGATAGCCATTAAGGGAATTAGGAGACAATTTTACTGTACCACTGACCATTACTTTTGAAAAGTCATTGTGAACTAAGGATGAACTGGAAGGTATGTGAAAAGTATGTCCAGTGCGAATTTGCACAGATGAAACAGGATTACATCAAGTAATTGCTACTTAATATCAGTGCACTGGGATGAATTTGCCCCACAGAGGGTATAAAAATCTATAAGCAGTAAAAAGCACAAAGTTACCAAGGACTGTGGAATCAAGAATCTTATAATGACCTTTCTCTCTTGCTGCTTGTGCCACTCATACCCCTCATTTTCTTTATTCACATGTGGTTTGTAAGTTACAATCATTCTGTATATTTAGGGCATGCCAAAATTAGAGCAAATTATACTTGCACCTGTTTTCTGGTTTTGTCATAATCAATGTCTGGGGAATGCTATCCATTTATGTTGCCCCTGAATTTGGTTCAATGTTCCTTTCTCATTATTCTTTATTTAATATTTACAAACCGTGATTCTTTTCTTGTTCTGACAGTTTAATTTGAGGACATGATGTAGGTTTCCACTTCTAAGAAATATGAATATAATTGACTTTAAGTCAGTTGTGCTGCTTAATATTAGTCCCAGGATGTCAAATAATTGAGTCTTACTTGTCTTTCAAATCAGATTACTATTGTTCATTTTTGGCATCAGCTATTGAATCTATCTTCTGCAATATACTAATGTGGTTGGCAATGTTAATGTCTTGAAATTCCGTATTTAAATGATGTTTGGTCTTGCTCTTAGTAATCAATGCACTGCAGTAAAAGGTGGCATATTTTTCTATCTTGGAGAAGTATTACCTAAATTAGACTATTTCTATCTGCCAGCAGTGTACGAGACAAATCTTGGTCTTCTTCAATCAATTATTTTAAGTAAGTAATTTTTATTAGACTTTTACACTTATTAAGAAGTTTCATTTAAGCCAAAGCTCTGAGTTTAGGAACATGGCATCTAATTTTAAAAAAATTAATCTTCCAATATAAAATAGAAATTGTCCCGCTAAACTACATTACTTGCAGGTGAAAATAAACAGGCGTTCCCTTCCTTACCTGTTTAATAAAGCATACAAAATAGTAAATTTGGACAGTAACTTTTTCTCCAATTCCAAACATACAATGGTATTTTCTAACAAATATGAAACTCCTAACAAAAGGTACAAAATGAATATTTCTTCTAAAAATTACCTTGTTAGAGCAGGTGTAGCCATGTCAGTGTGCACTCCAATAGCCATAGGAATCCCTCCACAATGAATATTTCCCAGTTCTTCTGCCATTGCAGTACTATAGGAAAAGTCCAAGCCCAGGCCACCATATTCTGAAAATATCAATAGTGTTGATATTTGCAAATAAACAAGAGCCAAGAAAATCAATTTAATTGTGTTCTACAAGCTGAGGCTACCATGTAATTTTCGAAGACTTAACAATGACAAACTTCTATTAGAGCTAAATGCTGCTGCAAGATGCTACAAAAAACAAATAAAAAGATTACTCTTTCTATAGCTGTTTCATATGCAGTCAAGATCACTTGAGTATGCAGTCTTTTCAGGTCTCATGAGTTAAACAGGATTAAGCCTTGCCTTAGGTGGAGGGGAGAGTGCCATGAAAAAATTGAGGGAATATAGAAAATAGTATCTGATTCACAGATGATCCTATTCCTGAGTTTATACTGAACCTTTGCTCAGAAACAACATTAGATGGAGGAATGCTATTGAATGTGTATATTTTATGTCTATTGTCAACATTAAAGCACTATTCACTAAATTAAACCTGGTGGCCCTGATATCTTGGTCAAATTCCAGTGAAGGTGATTATACCTCCTCACATTCCATCCTACAAATTCAATTACAAAGATGTTATTCTTCACCTCCTTCCTAAATCGCATAAGGTTGCCTAACATTAGTAAACAGTTGTGTACCATACCCCAGATGGACCAGAGTTCCATAAGCCATTTTAATTTGTAAAAGAATTACATTCCAGATGACATGTTATCAGACAAGCCATTACATTATTTTATTAGCTGCCTGGATGCTTTTGAGCGGGTGCCTCTACATAAGCAATTAAGGCAGTGATCAACTCTGGCACACTTCACGCAGGAGTAAACTGCTCCCAGGTGCAGTGTCTACACACGCACCCAGGAGAGCAGCAGTTTGAGCTAGGGTAGACCCTGGGCTGGCAGCAGGTTTGCAGGGTCAGCCCCAGGCCCCAGCTGGTGGCAGTGGAGGAGCTGGCTGATGCATGAGTGCTGAAGTGTGGAGCCATGTAGCAAGCAGTCTCCGCAATTTATTACCCTCAAGCCCCAGCCAGCCCCTATCACCATCTACACGTGTGTTTCACTGCACTTACTCTGCCATAAGACAGTACTGTCCCTGACAATACTATCTTATGGTGGAGTTAATTCATTTACTGTGCTCTAATAGATGTAGACAATGACGCTTCACTGAAGTGCTAATTAGCCAGTGCAGTAAAGCACACATGCAGATACACCAAGTTGGTGGCATTTTACTACCTTATTCTTCTGCTTCAAAGCCTGCTGCAACTGAGGAAATGTCAAACAAGTGGGTGTGGAAAATCATTATGTGGTTCCAACACCTGCCTTTTGTTTCTTCTTTTCCCATGTTTAGCTATGCTTTCTGGCATTGACTACTTGCTATCTAAGCTTAACCTTACATTGTCCTTCCTTGAAGTTTCCATTACAACACTCATGGCCAAATTAAAAACAACATAGCTCATATAAACACATGATTTTGCAAGCTATTATGTGTTTCCTAAACCCACAGGGAGTGCCTTTGTGTATCCTCTTCTGCAGTCTGCAGGGAAATCGCATCCTCAAAGGCAAGGTCCAGAGTTTAGTTCTTGTTTCTGTGTAATCCAGTCTGATCCCTCAGGATTTTCAAAATTTGAAATAATTATTATATTTCAAAACTGAGTTAAAAAGCTAGCCAAAAACATTCATTTAAAAGGGGGGGGAGGGGGAGAGGGAAGAACAAACACTTCCCTCAGGGAATTTAAATAATGAAGACAAATAATCATAAATTGGGGAGGTCTATGACAGAATCTACCATTAACCTTAGCTGCTGTTACAAGAGCCCTAGAAATGAATAGACTGTCTAGCAGGGGAAAAAAATTATTTTTAAGGAAAGCAAGTGAGCAATGACTACCCAAGCATCATTTTGATATGTTCCTCCAACTCAGATGCTCTGGCACAGATTTACACACACACACATTATAATATTTAAGATTTATCAATATGTTGGTCATTTTGTTTTTTTCTGGAAACCTGAGCTGAAAAGTAGGCATTATCATCATATTTTCTTGAATACAAGATGAGGTCTCCCCCCGCCCAATCAGCGTAGCGGAAAAAAGACTCATAACTGCATACAAGGAAACCTCATTAAATACCTTGCTTATCATTAAACTACTGCATAAAGCAGCACATGCTCAATGGAAATCAACGATCAAGTAGATTATATGCAGCCAACACTGAACATGACCATAAAGTGCAAAGCCCATATAAGGCAAGCATATTGATAGTAACCATTTGGGGTTTTTTGCGGCCCTTAAAAATACAAGCACCAGGCCTGGAAGTACTGCAATGCCAGGCCAACACTCAGAGGGGCCAGAGCAAGCACAATCTCCCCACATGCCAAAAATGCTGATTCAGAGATGTTAGGGGCTAGAAGGGACCTCTCAAGATCATCAGGTCCAGTCCCCCTGCACTTGGGCAGGAAAAACTGCTGGGGTCAGATGACCCCAGCAACATGAGCATCCAGACTTTTTTTAAAAATATCCAGAGTAGGTTATTGTACCACTTCTGAGGGGAGTCTATTCCAGACCCTGTACACTTGAGTTCTAAAGAAGTTTTTCCTTATTCCTAATCTAAAGCAGTCTTCTAGCAATTTATGACTGCTAGTCCTAGTCTTCCCCTGGGGAACCCTGGTGAACAGATGTTCTCCCAGTCCCTGATATGCACCCTTTATATATTGAAATGTTGTCACCAAGTCCCCTCTGAATCTTCTCTTTTACAGGTTGAAGAGACCCATGTCTCATCCTCTGATCATATGGCCTGTTTTCCATACCTCTAACCATATGTGTAGCCTTCCTTTGGATTCTTTTCAAGCTTCTCTACATCTTTCATGAAGTGTGGTGCCCAGGATTGGATGTAGTACTCTAGCTGCGGTGTCACCAAGGCCGAATAAAGCAGAAGGATGACATCTTTAGCAGTGTTTGAGATGCATCGGTAGATGCATGCCAGTGTTTTGTTTGCTTTGCCAGCTACAGCATCACATTGGTGGCTCATGTTCATTGTATGATCAAGACCTTCAGGTCTCTTTCGCTTGTGGTGCTAGTAAGTGTACTACTGCTGAGCCTGTAAGCATGTTGTGGGGTGTTTCTCCCCAGTTGAAGCACCTTGCACTTCTCAGTGTTGAGCATCATCAGGTTTTGATTCGCCCACCTTCCAAGCCTCTCCAAGTCAGCCTGTATCCCCAGCCTATCCTCCAGCGTAACCACAGTCCCCCATAATTTGGTGTCATCTGCAAACTTTGCCAGTCTGCTTATAACACCCAAGTCCAAATCATTAATGAATATGTTAAAAAGTACTTGTCCGAGTACTGAACCCTGAGGGATGCCACTGGTCACCAAGTGCCATGTTGACTCAGTTCCATCTATTATTACTCTCTGGGTCCTGCCTTGGAGCCAGTTCCCTAGCCGCCAGACGGCTGGGTTATCGAGGCTGCAGTTTTCCAATTTTACCATCGTCACATTGTAGGAGACCAACTCAAAGGCTTTTTTGAAGTCCAAGTATATGACGTCAACTTCATTGCCCTTATCCAGGCAGCATGTTACTGGATCATAGAAGGAAATGAGGTTTATCAGGCATGACCTGCCCACAATGAAGCCATGTTGGCTATTAGAATGTTGCCTTTCATTAACTTATTCTTAATGGATTCTTGGATCATTTTTTCCAAGATTTTTCTGGGGATTGAGGTCAAACTGATTGGCCTCTAATTCCCTGGACCCTCCTTCCTTCCCCTTCTTGTAGATAGGAACCACAATGGCCTTCTTCCAGTCTTCTGGAACCTCTCCCAAGCACCACAAAATTTCAAGTAGTTTTGCCATGGGTTGTGCAATGACATTGGCCAATTCTTTCAGAAACTCTTGGGTGTTCTCTGATGGAAGCCTCCACAAGGATATGTCAGTGCAGCCCAACTCAATAAGATATATATTATTGCCCATTACATGCAGTCCCCCTCAATGCTAGCCTTTTTCAAGTCATGGTGAGCCGCTACAATGAATGCATTTTTCCTTCCTCTTCAGTCCCATACCTGAGCTCCACCTTTCTTTTCCATTTTTATAGATTCATAGATTGTTAGGGGCTGGAAGGGATCTCGCAAGATCAATGGGTCCAGCCCCTCTGCACTAGGAAGACTAAGAAAGACAATGGGTCAGGTGACCCCAGCAAGGTGACCATCCAATCTCCTCTTGAAGATTTACAGGGTAGGTGATTGCACCACCTCTGGAGGGAATTTATTCCACAGTCTGGACACCCTGTGAAGAAGTTATTCCTAGTGTTAAGCCTGAAATGGTCTTCCAGGAGTTTGTGGCCATTACTGCTCCTTTTCCCCAAGGGTGCCCTGGTGAACAGTTGTTTGCTGAGCCCTTGATGTATTCCCCTGATATAGCGCTAAGCTGTCACTAAGTCCCCTCTCAGCCTTCTCTCTTTTAGGCTGAAGAGACCCAAGTCCATCAGTCTTTCCTCATATGGCTTGCCTTGCAAGTCTCTTATCATACGGGTGGCTCTTCTCTGGACTCTCTCAAGCTTTTCCACGTCCTTGTTGAAGTGTGTCACCCCGCACCGGACACAGTATTCCAGCTGCAGCCTCACCAATGCTGAGTAAAGCGGAAGAATCACTTCCCTGGTTTTGCTTGAAACCAGTTGGTGCATGCCAGATTGTTTGCCCTCCTGGCTACAGAATTGTACTGATGGCTCATGTTCACACTATGGTCTATTATTACTCCTAGGTCCCTCTCAATTGTGGTGCCAGTCAGTTTGGCACCACCGAACCAGTAAATATGTTAGGGATTGTCTGTCCCCAGATGGAGCACTTTACATTTCTCAATGTTGAACTTCATTTGGTTCTGATCTGCCCAACTTGCCAGCCTGTTTATGTCTGCCTGTATCTGCAGACTATTTTCAAGTGTGACCATGCTCCCCCATAACTCGGTGTCATCCATGAACTTGGCCAATGAGCTCTTCACCCCTTCATGCAAATCATTGATAAAGATGTTGAAAAGCACTGGACAAAGCACGGACCC